TAATAACTAAAAGACGAATTAACACATTTGTTAACACTACAATACTCAAAATTGGAAGCGACTAAATTACAATATAAACTAATAATGGCACCAGGATTTTTAATGTCTCTGCAATGTCTCCAAATAAACCCAAGCATTCTGTTCCCTTTAGAAATTATATGATCAATATGCTTAACAAACGTAAGTTTAGAATCAATAACAACACCTAATTCACGATGAATAAAAACTCTATCTAAAACATCGTCTCCAATATTATAAGAAGTGAAACAGACATGGATTTGGAGACATTCAGAGACAATCCCCAGTGCCTACTCCATGCAACAACAAAATTGAGATATTCCTGAATACCATTAGCATCCGCCTCGGAGCCGACAACACGTTACAACTTTAGGTCGTCAGCATACATACGTATATATAGGGTCTAAACAACGTATCCATATCACATTATGGCTCTATTAATAGCGACTATGTTGCATGCTAAGTACATGTTAAGGTCATTTTGTAATAGTGACCAACTAACTTCAATTCACTACAATTCAAGATGCAGACTTTAGCTGCCAGTATACTTGCGATGTTTTATAAATAAAAATACAGTATTATGAAAGATACTAGAAACACAATATATTTTATATACCGTAAATCTCGGCATAGCAAAAGTGAAGGTAACTTCCACGCATAACCAGACGTACGCCGCTCTCTTTCGGCTAATGATGGAAACTCTATCACGAAGAGTACGTACGTCCTAAGATTCTGCACCGCTTTTGTGTCTGTCTTTTTTTTTTTTTTTGGTTTATGCCTAATTGTTTTGTGATTTATTTATGCCTACTTGTTTGTATCTTATGGTTAATGACAACGATTTCTACCTCCGCCAAATAGACTATGTATTCACGTTCATTCATTCTTTTTTTTATATATCACGACGTACACGACACCACATTTTTGTACTCCAACCAAGCATTTTCCTTGCTACCGTTTTGTTTGTTGTTTGTCTATGCTCGTTTCCATACAATCGCTACACAGTCTACAACTAGTTTACTAGAACTCCCTGATTCAACTGATCAATCAGCGTCGCCAAGGAGTCGGCGATAACTTGTAGCGATTTTTATGCAAACCAGGCTTACCAGACGTACGCCGCTCTCTTCCCGCTGATGAAAACTCTATAACGAACCAGAGTACCACTGATTAATTTCAGATGAGATAGTATAATACTACATACTCCAAGTATCGAAATGCACGCCATCGTGTCGGGATTCAATATTTCGACATTAATTAATTACCGGTAGTCATCATCAGGAATACAAAATTATCCACATTTGCAAGCTTATTTATAAGCACAAATACCAAAAGTGTTTGACCAATCAAAACATTACCCGGAGTAGGTGACGTAGCTATGAATAAACTAAAGATCAAAGCATTCTTACCCTACTGATCAAAGCTAGACCTACAAAAACAAGGAAAGCTCCTTTGAAGCTTTCAGTCCATTGATAAGCAATGGCTGTAGCCTACGTATAGTAAACGCTTCTTTAAACAATAGTATAGACCAATTTTGCGAACTGTCAATGATGTTAGTATTAGAAAATATTAAAACTAATTTATTACTTACATTACAGGCTACATTATCATTTTCAAGTATACCTTTAAGATGGAAGTCAAGTTCAAGTCAAGTCTAATTCAATTTGCCAAGTCCTACGAGTGAAGTTTCAAGTCTAATTAATTCAATTTGCAAGCTCAGGGTAATTACGCTCCTGATTTTTTCAGCTAGCATCCCAACCAGCCCCATGCCAATACTCTTATTCACTAATTCATGATGTTGTATGCACAGTACTTTGTAAATAAAAAAGACAATATGGTACTTTGCTTCAATTATGCATTTTATTTCCTTGACATCAACGGAAGTACATTACACCCTCCATTCGAGACCCCTCTAATACGAAACCACGTTTTCAAAGAATGATATAACAATCTTTAATCTTGTAACACAAAGATAACCCTATACGTGGGGTGGCTAGAGTCATGTCATTATCATCCTCTATGGGCAACAAAGCAAATTATTATTTTTGGCCTTAAACATGCATCATCAACACCATCATAATCATCCCCACCTTCTTAATATTATGGTACCATTATATTACAATTTTAAAACTTAAATTATAAAATCTACAAAAAAAAATACCACTTAATATTCAAAGCATAATCATACAGTATATTCAGAATCAAATATAGTTAACTATACTAATCTTATTCATTCATTTCAAAATTCTTGGTTAAATGTCAATAAAAATTAGTATTTTTTCTTAACATATTTACTCAGTTTTAATAACACCAAAGAGTACAGAACTGCTAGAGGTCCGACTTTCGTGGTTCCGTCGGAACATAATCCTATTTCAAAAAGTACTCCCACGAAGTGGCGTGGCCTTATAACAAGACGAGTTT